CCCGGTGGGGGGGGGGCACTCCATATATATTGCATGGTAGGTATGTGCTGCGGGAGAGACCCCCCTTTTCAACCCTAAACCTCCGTTCCAGTGCATCGCATTTTTAGGAATATCTCGTTCCAGAGCATCACAAGTTTATTTACCATGCAGGTCTTACATTTTTGCCGTTCCGGAGACCCGGGCAGGAGGCATTGCATTTTAACGAAATCCTAGTTCCGGAGACCCCCATTTTCGAACATAGCCAGTTCCAGAGCATCCCACATTCAACAAACATTAGTTTCAGAGACCCCCAATTTTGACTTCGCAGTGGCACATACCTACCATAATGTGAAGTGAGTGCCCCCCCCCCCCCGGGAGCTAGAAATGTACGCTATGATAATTTCAGGAGCAAGGCGAACGGTTAGTAAAGTTAGAACAATCTAGAAAACACTAAAACACGCGTGAGCGGTGACGGAAATCACGTGCACGACCAGCCCTGCTGTGCGCATGCGCGGGACACACCGAGCCAATCAAAGGCGACATACGGTTTAAAGAAAGCAGACGAGACACCCAACAGGAAATTTCACTCGGTAAAGATACGCGTCTAACTTCCGGACATGCATCCAGTGACGTAAGAACGACGGTGCTGCCACTCTAAAGATGACGTAGAAAATATCGGGACGTTTTCGTTATTCTGCCTTTACCAGGCGGCGTTCGTGTCAATGGAATGGCGTTAACATGCGAAGAATGATAATTTTCCTGTCGGATGTGACGTAGCTAAGACAGAGAGCGAAAGATGCTCGATGTTTGTGAGCATGAATAACGATGAGATCGTGAGAAGAAACGCAAGCCAAGGACGAGCGCTTGCATCCAAACCTTTCTGATCATGACTGCTGCGACTGCCGAGTGAAGTCAAGCCCCTTTTCCTCCACCTCCCCCTTCCCCTTCTGCTTTCATCACGGGAAGGGGCGGCCAAGCAGAGGAGGGAGGGAGGGAGGGAGGGAAAGCATCGATGCTAATAGAAAAACCTGCCGCCGCACGGCGCTGGCATCAACGACGAAAAGTCGCGATGAGAAAAAATTCCGAATATTTTTTTCTTTTTCCGAAAGAGGGCACGTCGGGAAGACAGCATCTCACAGTGGCGGCACCTAGCGGCAGTCGCGCGGATGAGAAAGCGTTGAGCGCATGCGTGCGTGCGACGGCGGCGGATGCTGCTGCTGCGATGCTTACGTCTGCTATGTCTACTCGTGTTTACTGTAGCGCGGCTGCGGGTGTGCCATAGCGCGGTGGAAGTGCGCACACACGGCCGTCTGCACAGCACGCACGGCGGCGGCGCACGAGAGAGGAAACAACGTGCAGCCGGAGCCACAGACGTGATGCAGGGCAACTGAAAGAAATCGAAGAACATCGAGATACGACTTCTACGTGGTAGCGATGCTGATCTCTACATACTGACCATATGATTTAGTATTATACTAAGTAATATAGTTAGTAATTATACTATCCGTATATAGTTAGTAATGATACTAACCGTATATAGTTAGTATATAGAGATAAGCGAATGGCAAGCGGTGAACTGAATCTAGATAGCGCCATCTATCGGCGCGAATAGAAAGTACACACTGTTGCTTTGGCAAGGTGCGGGTGAGCATGCAGTAAAAAAAAAGTTGGATTATTTTATACGTGTGTGAAAATAATAGGCTCGGGTGGGGTTTTTCTCAGCAGAGCAGCGACAACAACAGCAATCCACAGCCAACAAAACGAGGGAAAAGGATGGGAGGGGATCTCAAACATATACAGTCAAACCTTGGATATAATCTACTTCTGATATAATGTAACTTGAAAGATACTCCTAATCAATGTGTCCTTTATATAGACCGGTGTCCGTTCTATAGAGATAGATTCCCCGCCTTAATATCACTTAATGGAAACATATACTGTATCTTTCATATACAGGTACTCGTCCCATAGAAGCAGCGTCACTTTATCAATGCCACTGAATGACTAGTGAATGAAAAAACTAATACCTATTATAAGCTCTTGATATTAACTGCATTGGCAGATGTGTCCATTCTATAGAGGTATCCTATGACATAGGTTTGACTGTATATATGCACATGGGATTTGGTTAGCACACACGAGCTCAGCATGTTGCGATACTATACAGTCCGCCCACCGTCGTCATCTCGCCATACAACACCACTCTATACCGAAAAGCAAAAATTTAACGTAAAATATTAATGAAACACAGTCAATAAAACACAAGCAAAATACAAAATAAATGCTCTGTCGGTCCTCGTCTTCCCTCCCTCTTCCCTCACCTTCCTTCCTTCTTCCTCGTCCGCCTTACCATTTTCTCTTATCAAATACCGTGGCTGTTAAGCACGAATCCAAACATTCCGTTGAACATAAGAGAGAGAAAGAGAGAGAGAGAGAGAGAGAGAGAGAGAGAGAGATAGAAAAAGAGAGAGAGAAAGAGAGAGAGAGAGAGAGAGAGAGAGAGAGAGAATGAGAGAGCGAA